TCCAAAAAGCAACGAGGCGGGCTCCGACGAGCCCCCTGAAGATGCTGGCATCCCGCCACGTGCCGGCTGGGGCTGCACGTTTTTTTATTGATCTCTCCCTCCTCCGGGGGCGCCGGGCTCGGCAGTCGCGTGTCGGTCCGGACTCCCGAGCCTCCCGGCCGTCGCGCGGCCCAAGAGGGAGCGGCGGCGTTAGTACATTCGGTCGGGCCATACCGAAAATGTGCGCTTGTTTCAAGGGTTCGCGAATTTAACCACCGGTCGAGGGCGGGTCGCCGGGCTCCCAAGTTCATCCGGATTTTGGGGGCGGCGGCCCTTTGGCGAAGGGGGGCTACCAAGTTAGAGTAAACAGGTAGGCCGCCCCTGTCGTGGTGGGTGGTGAGCTGTGAAGGGGGCGGCGGCGGGGGAGGCGGGGCCGGCGGAAGCGAAATCTCCAGCAGGACCGGGCCGAGCGAGACATTTCACCTGAGAGTGTATCAGCCCGTTTTGACCCGGGTCAGGCGTCCCGCCTTGTCTCGGATGGGGCCGCGTGGGAGGGAGCAGGGGGAGGGGCGGGCCGCCGCCTCGAAACGGGGGGGCCCCCCCCCCCCCCCCCCCCCCCCCCCCACCCCCGACCCCGGGCAAGCCCTTTGACACCGTCGACGTCCTCTTTCGGTGGGGAGGGAGGGGCGTGGGCTGGCAGGGCGGCCAAGGGGCGATTATCGTGCCGCAGCCAATCACCGAGCCCGCCGCTGGGGGCCCGGCGGAGAAAGGTGGCCCCTTTGCACCTTTGGGCCAATACACGAAGGCAGGTGCATGGAGGTGCATGGAGGTGCATGTGTGTGTGCGTGCGTGCGTGCGTGCGTGCGTGCGTGCGTGCGTGCGTGCGTGCGTGCGGACACACGGGGCGCGGGACATGCGTGTTCTTGGACGCCGCGTTTCGGTGCAAGAGCCGAGCACCCGGAGTTCCCCCCTCCGGTTGGGCCCCAGGCCCGGCCGCCGGCAGGCCGGGCGCCCCACGAGGGCCGCCCCCCACGGCGCTCCCAGCTCGCCCGGCGGTCCGCCCACTGTGCCCGTGTGAAGGGGGCGGGGGGGGGGGGAGACACAGCACGCCCCTCGGGGCGTTTTCAGCCTTGGTGGCTTTCACGCTCCCGAGCCTGCGACGAGCCAAGAGTTGGTGTTCGGCAACGTGGCGGCCGCCGCCCGGCCCTCCTCCCCGGCCGCCGTTGTTCGGGACATGCCCTCTGTTCTTGTCCGGGGGAAGGGGGATGGGAGCTCTCCGGGGGCGTACGCGGCCCTGACCGGCTTCGGCATTTCCACGTCGCCTATTGGCCGACCCGGCCGTGGTCGGCTATTGGTGCGCGGGGCGTGGGAGGGCGCGATTTCACCACGGCACCCGCGTCCCCCGGGAGCGGCGGGCCGGTGGACTGGCGCGTTCGGCGCGCATGTCGCCGCACCCGA